GCTCTATTGCATCTTTAATGCACTTAGTCAATGGAATTTATAACAAATATGGGATGGCCTTTCAGGGAGATCAGAATATATTTAGCATGCACATCGCACAGTTTATGTTGGTTGAATGAAATTAGAGCAGATATGTTGCCTCTGAAGCATCCCCCGAGGGATGAAATAAAGGAGTGGTTCATCAGAGTGTGATGTGTGTGTACATTTAGAAAGAAAAGAGAGGAGGAGAAAGCCAGGCCTGTAATATCACAACACACAGACTTTCTGCAGTGAGTGATTGATCATGCGGACTCTTGCCGTCTAATGTAACCCCCCGACCGACGATGACTGGTCTGTGACAGCCATGATAAATGAACATCCAGCAGCCAATGTCTCACTAATGGCTTTCCATGTACTCTGCTTGACTGCACACACGCACACACACACACGCACGCACGCACGCACACACACACGCACGCACATTATACTCATTCCTGTGCACACTTAATTTATACTTTCTAATATGGAGTGTCAGAGGACATGCGTGACGCTCACACTTTGAGCTGTGAGAGTATAATTAAATCAAATGAATGTTCTAAACTAATGTTTGACAGGGCTTAGTATATGTTAATGTTGGTTAATTACTGGTTTCTGTACTTCCTGCCTTTCTCTGAATTCCAGTTCTGACCCGAAACTTGCCTTAGTTGATATTGTACTTCAATGGTGTGAATTCTCTTACACATTTCCATATCATCAAATTACCAAAAGCAATGTACATGCAGTGAATGTGGGGTCTGGGGCCCTCAGGGCTTTGGCCTGCTTTGCCCAGTTGGAAATGTTGCCTTGTTCTGTGGAAAGTTTTTTATTAAGAATAGTTTGATACTATCTTTACTTTTAGTTTCCCGGTTCTTTCATTGGTAGCTTTGATAGGCTGTGAGCCAAGTAAATATTTGCCATCCCAAGACTACTCTCAATGCGATGCATCAATTATTTCCATTCTCTCCTATCGTTAAAACATTGTCTGATTCATCCCAAGTATGTAAATAGTTATCAACATGTATGTATTACTAAAAAAACATCATAGTGTTTGTTGATGTTATGTTTTTAGGGAGACCATCTGTCCCATTTTCGTGAACGTGTTATCTAATACCTTAAGGGAATATCTTCAAATGTGTTATAAGCGTCCACTTGGACTTAAGGATGAACTGATTTAATTATGGAGGTCACTGTAACTTCACAAAATCATTTGGACAGACATGGATTAAACCACATCTTGACAGGTTGGCGCAGGCATACAAACCCACAGCTGTAATTTAAGAATTTTCCAGCCCGACTAAGCATTAAATATGACGCCGTTACAGAACATATTGGAATACATATGAAATCCATAAAGCATGTCAGTGTGTGTATGTTTATCAATCTTTATAAATACACACTAGAATACACCTATTTCCGCCACGTCAAGAGGATCCCGCAGCAGGGCTATTTTCATTTGTTGCAAATGGCTTCAGAAATAAATAGGGTCTTGGACCACGGAGGCTGAAGAAGAACACCATGATGGATTGATCCGCTCCATCTATCCTCAGAGCGAATCAATCATCTTAGCTTTTGGTGCTGTTTTCAATAGGAATTTTCCACACTTGGCTGCTTCACCCGCAGCGACAAAGAGCTGTCCTGAGGTTGGATAACCCGAGTGCATGAGATATCTGAATACTCTCTTTCTCTCAGTTTTCACAGTCACTATTTGTAATTGAAATGAGATGGAACTGCTACGTAGGCAAAAAATAAAAATCCATTATAATATAATACAGTCAAAGTTTGAGTTACATCTAGAGATATGCTTGATGTTCTTGCTCTGTAGCAGAAGCAGGGGGTCTTTCTGTGCGTACAGTACAGTGCACAGCTCACACAGAGCAGATGGTCCTCTACAGTTATGCAGACTACATGTGTCCTGCTTCAGGCTAGCATTGCCCTCTCGCTGACAATATGAGGTGAACGGCCAGAAGGCAAAGTACAGCAGATGAGATTTCAAAGGGAGGGGGTATGTGGTAAATTCAATATGAAAAAGTCAAAGCCATGGCACGGAAACCTTGTCAGGACTACAAGCTTGGTATGGGATACTGTAACAGAATCAGGAAAAGTTAATGAGAACAAATGACTTGCTAGTAATGTAATATGACTTAACGAATGAGTTGGAAGGTGCAGAAAGCTTTACACGGTTTCTCTCTGCCTCTGAGACTAAATATAGTCTGGGATTTATAGCCCAATGCATATGGCACCCATAACCCAGTCAAGCCAAGTCATTGATCCCTGCCCCACATGGCTTGTGGAATCCGTGCTAACCTCAGCAGATAATCCATGAAGCTGTGGAGATTAGGCTAAAGGTCAGGAGTGATGAGAGCTTTGGCCATAAAGTTAATAATGTACCGGTAGCTACACATACTATATGTGCTGCATGGCTTGTAGAGTGGATACTGAAAACTATTTAAGGGGTAAAATGAGTAGGGTTGATTTTTAGAAACAATTTATTATTTTATGTTTATCTGTTTCACGACATGAAAGCAACATCAAAGAACAAAAAATCTTTTGAGGCATTGATTCAGCAAAAAGGCAATATGATCTATGGCATTTGGGCATTTTGTTCAGAAACAAACATTGGGCTTTGGGGGATTAAGGTTGCCATTTTTCATTTTTTTCTGACATTTTATAGACCAAACTTCAGTAACTGAATAATCACATTGGGCTTTGGGATTAATGTTGCCATTTTCCATTTTTCTGACATTTTATAGACCAACTTCAGTAACTGAATAATAAAGAAAAACAGGTACAGCCTTTTAGATGCCCTATAATGTTTTTGGGGTTTTCCTTTACTGTAGTGTGTTTATATGTTTGGTGTGCTTGTAATGTTCTGTGAGGCATTTGAGTTATTTGTCTTCTTCTGTAACATACTGGTAGTGCTTCAGCATGTAATACATGTCACAGGCACAGACATAATTAGAACAAAATCATGGCCCTTAAAGGTGACCTATCATGCACAAATGCACTTTTGTACGTCTTTTGATACTAAATACCTGTGTCCTGGTGTGGGTCCCAGGAACTCACCAAGGTCAGAAAACACAACCCTCTCTATTTTCCCTCCATACCAAATCTCTAAAACGGGGCCACTGCAACGGAGCTGATTATTCATTAAGAATTTTTCTGACGAGTCAGAAAAGGGGTGATCCGCCTATACTGGGCAACTCTCCCACCTATCAGGGCGAAATGAGAGACCGACTCCAGAAGCGCTGACGACGTGTATACATTGCCAGGCCCTGTAGCTGCGCCTGGTAGTCTGCCACAAAAGAGAAGTGCAGTCCTTGCAAAAACAGGGCTGAAAGAGAGCAAGATAGGAGCGAAATGAGGGAAGGCGTAAAATGGCATGATCTGTTTCGGTACTTTTGAAAAAAACTTCACAGAGCTGTATTTATCATAGCGTATGCGCACCTACATCACATATTTTCAAATTAATAGCAGTGATAAAGAGTAGCACTATTAAATAATGTTATACACACACAATGACAAGTAGGAAGTTTTGTGACCTCAAAAGGTCACTAGGATTGCGTTTGCATAAGTACAGACAAAACTATAATTACTTGGCGAGCTGGCATCAATTTGTGATATAGACATGGACAGACTTTGATGTGCCAGCTTGCTGTGCGTGCTCAGATCAAATCCAGTCCATCTACTGTAAACGGTGTTTTTACACTCGAGGAATCGGAATTAAAATATTCTTACTTGCTCTCTCATATAAACACAGGATACACTCATCCACACACAGTTGTTTTTTTCTAGTCCCATGAACTTACATATTCAAGTCTTATCTATGCACAGTCTTCAAAATTGTTCTAACAACAAACTTCCAAACTACAATATTGCCTTTCATTTAAATTTAATGTATTTATCATATAAGGATATATGTTTAATTTTACCTTTGTTGCTCATGAGCTTTCTCTAATAGACGTTGAGACCTGCATTTAGCATATTTTTGCGGATCAACTATACAGAATGAAAAAAACTGACCTTAGACACAAGTCATCAATATAGAGCCACAAGCAATAGGATAAACAACCACTTAGCATTATTCTCATTTAGCTTTCTAGAAAGAAAGGCACTATAAAAAGGGATTATAATTAAGAATGCACTAGACAGTAACCTGCCACACAACTATACCTTTCACTGAGATGCACATGTACATAAAAAGCAGCATTCACTGTGTGTAAATCCAGCAGAGCAGCGCTGCTAACAAAC